GCTAGCGCCAACTGCAGCTAGCGCCAGCAGCAGCAGCTAGCACCAGCAGCATCAGTGAGAGCGCCAGCAGCAGCCGCCCGTGCCTTCGTTACGTACTGTCGCCCGCATTCCTTGACCCGCGACCCCATTCCCCACCGCACTAGACCACCCTGCCGCACCTCAACACTTCCTACCGCCTACGCCATGCCTAAGCGTACCTATACCTCGCCCGTTAATTATGGTGACCTCTCGTGTTCTGACATTTGATCAGGTGAAAATGTCGTGCCCCTTCTTGAGCATGCCACTGGTGAGCTAAACGCTCCACCTGCCCCCGAACCCCTTGGTGCGGACCCGTTGGAGGCAGCAAAGGCTGAATATGCCCTGGCTCACCTTGAGGTCAGTCGCTGGACGGCGCGTGACAATGCTACCATCCTAGCCATCACTGACCTTCTCCCTCTGTCCGAGGAGCCGCACTTTGAATAGGAAGAGACGGCTAAGAAACTGTATGATGCAATGGTTGCTCTTTCTCTTTCCCGACCTCCCTTCCTTCCCTCGAGTATCTGACTTGATACTGCATCTGCGCTCGCTCGATGCTCAATTTCGTGCTGTCGCTGCAGACCCTGCCCTGCTTGCTAAGAATCCCCCCCCCCCCCCCCCCCCCCCCCCATGTACATGACCCTGTACCTCCTCGCCACTCGCCTCCCTGATCGCTTCAAACCCGCGCGTGATCACTTTCTCACCATTGACCCCATGACCCTCACTATTGAGCTTTTTTCAGAGAAGCTCCTTGAGGTTGAGGATCTTGCTTTCTCCCTTGCTGCTGCTAGTGGTACTATCCTCCCCCCTATCTTTGAGGGGTGTGCCCCTTCCTTCCTTGCCTCCCCTGTGGCCTCGGCCTCTGTTGCTACGGCATCTGAGGTGACAGCAGTTGTCCCTGGTCACAAGAAGGGGGGCAAGAAGGGCGATAAGAAAGGGGGTGGTGGTGGTGCCGGTGGGGGTGGAGGTGGGGGTGATGGTGGAGGAGGTGGAGGGAGTGCAGGGGGTGGTGATGCCAGCGTTGGTGGAGGAGGGGGTGTCGCGGTGACTGTGAAGACGAGGACGGCGACAAGGGGGACTACGGGGTAACGTGCAACAGACCAAACAGGGCAAGACGGGGGGGGACAGGGGCTACCTGGGGGGAGGGACTAGGAGAGGGAGTGGCAGTGAGGAACTCAGGTGGAGGGGTGTCGGAAACTCAACTTTGTCTTGCTCTTGTTGCATGTGTTATATCCTGCTTCCTCACTCTTGCCTCCCTTCAGTTCATCAGGACACTTAGCTCCCGAGGTATCTTCTCTGTCTTGCCTCCAGCACCATCCACTAAACAGTACTCCCGTGGTCTGAGGAAGGATCAGTCACTCTTCTCTAGCTCGGCAGGCTCTCTGTGTCTCAAACAATCTGCTCTAGTGCTTGCTATGATTGGCTCCATTTGGGCTTGGCGCTAGGGGTTTCGCTAGGCTCAATTCATGCTCACTGTGGAAACAAACTCGCAAGCAAGGGCCTCCTACCCTGCCTATTGCTGTAGTAAAGTTTGGCAGTGGTTACTGTTGCGGTGCAACGGTGCCTTCACCCAGCTTGCTTTTCCCCTCTCCCGCTCGATAATTTGTGTTTCCCTCCTACCTCGCTACAGTTTAACCCAGTCACTTCCTATTGTCTTGCTTTCATATCTTTTCTACCGATGGCTGCTGGTTTTCTTTTCATTTCTCACCCGCGGCCTCCCTTCCTCCGTCCCTCCTTGGCTTGGCTCTGGCCACGTTAGTCCGGTGATCCTTTATTTCCCGCCCTGCTTCACTCACGAGCACCACCACTCCAGATTCATTCACTTCCTTCACTCTCCACCTGTCATTGCTCAGTCCTACATCCATCATGTCCTGCTTGGCTTGCTTCAAGTACACCTCCTCTCTCACTCCCAGCTCCTTCTCCCTCTTTCCTGTGTTTCCCTCTCTCCTCTCTTGTACCTCTGCGGATCTCTCAGCTGGGCTACATGCAGTTCTCTGAGGTACCTGGCCCTTGCCTCTGCCAGTCCGACCCAGTTCTCCTGTCAAAGTAACAACTCGTGAATGAATGATGAAATCAAGGGCATACAAGGGTTGATATAGCAAACCCTAACCCTAGTGCTAGGACAAATGTAACACAATGTAGAACACCTAGACAATACTAACAAACTATAACAATTATAGTTTGACACACCCCCATAGTCTAGGTGACGGTAGTCCTGTGGAAAGCAACACACAGTCTACGAGCAAGGGTCACAGGACCAGTCAGCAAGAGCAAGCAACGGTCACAAGACCAGTTCACAAGAACAAAACAAGGCTCGGGGTGGAGATCACCACACAGTCCGAGAACAAGCAAGAGGCCACATGGCCAATCCACAAGCAAGGACATAGCAAATATAGAAGATGCAAGAATACAAGACATGCATGACAAGCATCTCTACGAAAGCAAGGGGCCACAAGGCCAGTCCACAGGCATATATATATGAGATATAGTGAGATGCAAGAGTACAAGACAAAGCATCTCTACGCAAGCAAGTGAGGGCCGATAGACACAAGGCCTAGCTGGGTGCAAAAACGCTGGTGGTCACAAGGCGGCAACGCCTTGGTGAAGATATCTACCGTGTTGGCCTCAGAGACCACACGTCGCATGAGTGCCTGGCCAAGCTGGAGGTGCTTCGCCTTCCCAACCAGTCGGGGCTCCTCGCACAACAGGATAGCAGACCTGTTGTCGGCGAACAAGACTGAGGGAGAGCGAGGCCGCTCACCAAGGTCGGTGAGGAGGAAAGACAGCCAGCGAAGCTCCTGGGCGGCCATGGCCGCAGCGTACACCTCTGCCTCATAGCTAGATCTGGAGACGGACGACGCCCGAGTAGACCTCCACGAAACAGCTCCGGTCCCAAGGCTGAAGTAGTAACTCTGTGTAGACCGCAGCGACTCTGCGTTGTCGGCCCACGACGAGTAAGTGTAACTGGCTGCTTCCCTCCAAGGACAAGTCCCATGCCTGATGTACTTGCCACATACTTCGCCACCCTCTTAGAAGCGTACCAGTGGGAAGGTCGGTGTCTCCCAGGCGCAACAAAACGCGCAAGGAAGCTACGAGGGTAAGCTAGGTCAGGGCGAGTACAGGTCATCAGGTACATGAGACAACCCACCAGCTCAGGATATGGACCACTGGACTCAAATGGCTCGTCCGAAGGTGGAGCCGTGAGCCCATGTTCGACAGCAAGAGGGGTGGGCTGTACCTTGGAGAACGGGAAGCGAAACCGCGTGAGGATCTGCTCGACCATATGTGACTGTGTCAGCGTAATGGTGCAAGGTGCCCTGTCCCTGGTGATCTGCAGGCCAAGGTAGCGCTGCAGCTCTCCAAGGTCAGTTCAAGTGTGTCTCCTCTGCAGTTCCTCCTTCACGGAGGCCAGTGCGCGTCGGTCGGGAGTGGCGAAGACCAGGTCGTCAACGTAGACCAGAACAAAGAACGGGGTCGAGCCACGGCGGACGAACAGCGACGGGTCAGCAGATGACGGAAAGAAGTCAAGCGCTGCAAGAGTCGTACGTAGCGTGTCGTGCCACTCGCGGGAGCCTGGCGCAGGCCGTAGACCGGTCGACGCAGCTGCCACTGGGTCCCAGGAGGGAAAGTGCCAGGGAAGCCAGGCGAACGACGCAGCCAGATCTGCTCGTGCGGGCTCCCCTGAAAGAACGCGGTGGAGAAGTCCAAGGAGTGCAACTCGTAGTCGCGCTGTGCTGCAATATGTAGTAACACCCGAAGAGTTGTCATCTTCAGGGTGGGAGCGAAGGTCTGGAAAAAGTCTACCCCCTCTCGCTGACTGAAGCCTCTCGCCACGTAGCGCGCCTTAAACACCGGTGGTGCTCTAGGCGGCCACTTCACCTTGTAGAGCCGCATGTCACTGACAACGTTCGCCCCAGGTGGCGGGACGGCGTCGACGTAGGTGCCTGTGGACCTATAAGATGCCATCTCTGCCTCCTCAGCTGCTATCCAGTACGAAGCCCAGGGTCCCGAGACCGCCTCAGCGTGAGTGCGAGGGATCGGGATGTCAAGGGCGTCTGGATCCCCCTCAGGGGCAAGCAGCATGGCGCAGAGATGAGGAACAGCAGCTGCAAGGAAGCCAAGCTCGAACTGCCTGTCCTCGAGGACCTCCAGGGGAAAGACATTAGCACCCCCAGAGGACGGAGAACGAGCAGGGCCACTCTCCAGGTGAGCGGCGTAGTCAAGGCGGTGGGACGAGGCAAAGCCAGCGATAGTGGTAACAAGCGTTGAGATAGACGACAGGGGTGCAGTCGGGTGAGGGACCAACGCGGACAAAACACGGGAGACATTAGGGGGGAGGCACGGAGGTAGTCGGACAACGGGTCGTGAAGCACAGTGAGAGCGGAGAACAAGGTGAAACGGGCCGTCTGCACGGTAACGAGACCGACGGGGCTCTGGAGACACAGCATGACTGAGGGGAGAACGACAAGTCCACTTGGACGAGGAAAGGGACTGGACGGGGGGAACAGTTGGGGACGGTAGGGGACCACGAACCAAGCGTGCAGGTGCTGGGTCGGGCAGGTCGCACAATCGTAGTCGCTGCTGCTCCGCCTCCTCTGACGTCTGCTGCGACGGTACCTGCCCCTGCTGCTGCTCCTGTGGCTCCTCCTCTGCCCTCTCCTGCTGCGGCTGCAGCTGCACCCGCTGCTGCGACCGGGACTCCTGCGCTACCCTCTCCTGCTGCGACCGTGACTCCTCTACTCTCTCCTGCTGTATCTGTAACTGCACCTACTGCAGCGGCCGTGACTCCTCCTCTACTCTCTCTCCTGCTGCGAATGCAACTGCACCCGCTGCTGCACTCGTGACTCCTCCTCTACTCTCTCCTGCTGCGGCTGCAACTGTACCTGCTGATGCAGTCGTGACCCCTCCTCTGCTCTCTCCTGCTGCTGCTGTGACTCCTCCTCTACTCTCTCCTGCTGCTGCGACTGAGACTGCTGCTGTTCCTGCTACTGCTGCTGCTGGTGCTGCTGCTGCTGCAGCTGCTGCTGCTGCTGCTGCTGCTGCTGCTGCTGCTGCTGCTGCTGCTGCTGCTGCTGCTGCTGTTCCTGCTGCTGCTGCTGCTGCTGCTGCTGCTCCTGCTGCTGCTGCTGCTGCTGCTGCTGCTGCTGCTGCTGCTGCTGCTGCTGCTGCTGCTGCTGCTGCTGCTGCAGCTGCTGCTGCTGCTGTTGCTGCTGCTGTGCCCTCTCAAACCGCTCACGCTCCTCCCTCTCCAACCGGAGGAGACGCTGCTCACGGGTCAGGAACCGTACAGTGCGCGGTGAAGGCGCCACAGTGCCATTGCCTCCAGCTCTAGCACCCCCAGAACCAGCACCTCCACCACCGACACCCCCGGGGCCTCAGTACCTCCCGCAGGAACACCCCCAGGCTCCGCAGCAACCGGCCGCAGAGAAGAACGAGGAGGGAACTACGGGACGGACGGGAAGCCAGGGGGTGACGCAGGGCGAAGCCGCCGACTCGAGGCTGCCGTGTCCTCAACGGGAGCGACCTCCACGCCCACACCCCTTGCACCCCCAGAGCCGACACCACCAGCTCCTGCAGCCCTAGCACCCTCACCCTCCGCAACTGCACCTCCCGCACCCCCAGACACGACAGGGTCTGGACGCTGCGGGGGGGACGACTGCGGAGTGACGTGCGACACACCTAACGGGGCAGGACGCAAAGGGAAGGGGGGGGGGGGCTACCGGGGCGACCGGGGGGGGCTCAATGGTGAGGAACAGCGGGGGGGAAAAGACCTCAGTACCTCGGTGGGGGCGACTCCTGTAGTAACAGACAGACTCGTCGAACGTGACGTCCTGAGACGCGAAGAACTGGTAGGTGACTGGGTCGTAAAACACCCAGCCGGAGGCGTCCAAAGGGAAGCCAAGAAAGACGCAGGCACGAGTGCGCGGATACAACTTGTTCGCGCCAGGGGCGCGAACGTGAGCCAGAGAACCCCAGACACGGAAGTCAGCTGCTACGCCCGGAGAACCTGTCCAAAGGGAGACCGGCGTCACCCGTGGCCGTGCGTCACTGGGCCACAGGTTCAGCTGGTGTGCGGCGTGGTGGACTGCCTGAGGCCACAAGAACCGGGGGGCACCGGCATGACACATGGAGGTCCGGGCAACCTCCATGACCAGGCCGAGGCGTCGCTCGGCTACCCCGTTCTGCTGCGGCGAGGCTGGTAGCGTGTAAGACTGGATGATCCCCCGACCCTGACAGAACGTCTCCAGGCGAGTGGAAGAAAACTCACCACCACAGTCAGAGTGTAGGCGGAGCCCACACAGGCCCTGGGCGCCACCCCTCGTAGCCACGGCTCGAGGACGGTAGGCACGTCGGTCTTCCGTCGCAAAGAGAAAACCGTGGTGTAGCGGGAGAAGTCGTCCACCACAATCAAGAAGTAGCGCTCCTGACGTGGGCCAAGGACCGGGGAGGGGCCCCAGACGTCCAAGTGCAGGGTCGTTTGGGCAATCCCTTTTTATGTGTCCCGTTTCTCCGCATTCGTGACAACGTCTGCTATCCGGACGGCTGGCTGTTGTGTGCTCAGGTTCCAGCATGGCTGCCGCGGCCCACAATGTCTTTGCCTTGATGCGGGTTTCTCCGTCGTCGAGGTCCAACACGCGCTGGGCGTGCTCAGTCCTCTTACCCAGGCCGTACACTTCCTTGAGCGTGAAATCTGCGCCGATGCCATACACCGTGTTGCGGACCACATTCCGTAGATCCTCATCCAATCCGCGGTCGAACTTGCGCACCAGCAATCTCTCTTCCCTGCTTTCCATGCTGTCCGCCAGCTTTCTTAACCTGCAGTTGTAGGCGGAGAGTGATTCGTCTCTTTTTCGGCGGAAGTCCCGGAATTCTTCCACTCTCGCCTTGGTCTGCCGTATGAATCCTTTCTTCAGCATCTCCAAGAATCTAGCACCTGGGTTCTCGAAATCGGACCATTCTGTAGGAAGTCTCTGCTTCGCCGGCCAAGGAAACCACCATCCTTCGGAAGAACGCCCAGATCCATCCCGTCTCTTTCCCAGCAATAAATAACCGTCTCTAGTAGCATCCGATTGTTCTTCGGGGTGGGCCCCACTTCTGGGATCCCCGTAAAGTGCTCCGCTACCTCAATTTTTGGCAGGCTTGCCGACGTCCATTTGCTTGCTCTGGGTGATTCCTGACCCAGCATTTCTTCGGCTTGCATTGCAACACGGCTCTCCATCGTTCTTGCGAGTTTGTTAAAAAGTCCTCCCATGGTCTGACGAAGAATCGGTCACTCTTCTCTAGCTCGACAGGCTCTCTGTGTCTCAAACAATCTGCTCTGGTGCTTGCTATGATTGGCTCCACTTGGGCTTGGCGCTAGGGGTTTCGCTAGGCTTAATTCATGCTCAAATCTAAAACAAACTCGCAACCAAGGACCTCCTACCCTGCCTATTGCTTAAGTAAAGTCTGGTGGTGGTTACCGTTGCAATGCAACAGTGCCTTTGCCCTGCTTGCTTTTCCCCTCTCCTGCTCGATAATTTGTGTTTCCCTCCTACCTCGCTATGGTTTACCTAACCTCCTATTGTCTTGCTTTAATATTAACTCATCTACTTTCTAATTAAACGCATGACAGAGGTAAGAGTGCTACCTCGGTAGGGGAAGCAGACATAGTAGGAGACCGACTCGTCAAAGGTAATGTCACAAGAGCTGAGAAAGCGCCGAGAGGGAGGGTGGTAGAATAACCAATCAGACTCGACGAGAGGGAAATGAAGGAAGACACACTGGACAATGCGCGCCGCAAGCTTGTTCGCGTGACGATCGTGGACGTGAGTAAGACAGCCCCAGACACGGAACGCAGACGCAGGCACAGGGGAACCAGTCCAGAGGATGGTCGGCGATAGGGGAAGCGGAAGTAGTAGGAGACTAAATCGTCAAAGGTGACGTCACGAGAGCTGAGAAAGCGACGAGAGGGAAGGTGGTAGAACAACCAGTCAGGCTCGACGAGAGCGAAAGCAAGGAATACACACTGGGACAGTGCGGGCCACAAGCTTGTTCGCGTGAAAATCGAAAAACGTGAACAAGACAGCCCCAGACACTGAACATAGATGCTGGTGCAGGTGAACCATTCCAGAGGATTGTCGGCGAAACCTGCAGCTACGAGGAACGCGGCCACAGGTTAAGCTAGTGGGTAGCGTAGCGAACTGCAAAGGGCCACATAAAGGATGGGGCACAGGCATGATGAATGGGGGATGGGCGATGTCCATGATCAGGCCAATACGATGCTCAGCGATCCCATTCTGCTGTGGCGAGTCCGGCTGCGTGAACGACTGGACGATACTCTGCACGCAATAAAACTGCTCAACCCGAACGAAGGTGAACTCACCACCCTGGTCAGAGTGCAAGCCAAGCACATGACGGACTCGCTGGGTGCGGACAGCTACGATCCACGAGAGAAGTGCGTCAGGCACGTCGGCCTTCTGCTGCAAAGGGAACGCCATAGTGTAGTGAGAGAACTCGTCCACAACAACCAAAAAGTAGCGCTCCCCGCGAGGCCCAGCTACTGAAGCAGGGCCCCAGAGGCCCATGTGCAGACGCTGAAGAGTAGCAGAGGCGCGAGACAGCTTGGAGGAGTGAGGGGCGGCGCGCTGCCGGCCCTCAACACAGGGAGTGCAAGGCGGCGCAAGTGACTGTGGGAGACCTGTGACAAGATGACGGGACACTATTTGACGCAGACGCAGAAAAGAGGGGTGACCTAAGCGATGGTGCCAAAGAAGCGATGGGTGCGTGAGAGAGCGACACGAGCAGGACGCGGCTACCTGACCAGACCCAGACACAGGGGCAGACTCAGTGCACAGTGGCAACAGACTGGACCCAGGCTCCCGAGTGAACGTGGCAAGAGGAGCCCCACTGGCAGCGTCTGTACAGACGGCAAACCGCTCGTGCGCAGGAAAGGTGATGGTGACGCCAAGGTCCTGGAGACGACCAACACTCACCAAGTTCCTGGAGAACGAGGGGAGGTGCAGACCTGCGAGGGAACGTGGGGGGCTGCTAGACACGGGAGTGCAGTGGCGCTGCGTGACACAACCGGACCCGCAGAGGGCTCAGCCAAGGCATCTGGGACTGGATTCGGAAGCGGAGCGAGGGTGGTGCGGTCGTGGAAGAAGCACCGAGACGCGTCGGAGTCAAGCATGAAGGAGAGGGGCGCGTCACTGGTCGTCGAACCTGGGCTAACAGCGTCACAAGCTACTAAACGAGAAGCAGCTACACATCCTAGTCCAGGAACACAAGAATTATAGGAGGTAGCAGCACTAGAGTCATCATGCTATAATACAGGTGCAGAGTACAAAGCAGCATACACGGCAGACATATCCATAGTAAACACTTAATAACCCTGGGTGGTGCAATGAAGTCCAATCCGGGGCGGGTGCGCTGAGGCCGAACCGCTGGCAGTAGAGGTCGGTGAGGCGGCCAAAGCGCCGCTCGGTAGAGTGTGCACGCAGACGAAGCCGAAGCACGTACTGGCAGGGTGGTAAGTCGGCCTCCACTCCCTCCACCTCCTCCACCACCACCCCCACCACCACCCCCACCGCCACCACCACCACCCCATTTCTTGCCCCTCTTCTTTCCCCCCTTCTTGCCTACCGACGTCGACCTGCCCAAGCTCGACCCCAACATGCACGCCGACCCTGATTGGCCTTGGGATATTGCGACCATGACGGTCAAGGAGGCGTTGACCAACTGGAAGGGCAAGGCGGTGAAAGCGGCGATGGACGAGGAGGTCCGCGGTCTCCTCGCAAACGGCACGTGGGGACTCGTCGAGCGGCCGCGCGGCGTCAACATCATGAAGAACCGCTGGGTGTTGATGACGAAGTACCACGACGACAACACAGTCGCCCGCGAGAAGACGAGCTTGGTCGTGAAGGGCTTCACGAAGGTCTACAATGTCGACCGACGATACGTATGCACCGATCGGGAGCTACGTCACGCTGAGGATCTTCCTCAGCATCGTTGCCGTCCTCGACCTGCACCTCATGTAGCTCGACATGAAGAGCGCCTTCCTGCAAAGCAAGCTCGACCGTGTGATTTACACGAACCAGCCAGTCTACTACAACGATGGCACTGGCCGCGTGTGCAAGTTGTTGAAGAGCTTTTACGGCCTCGAGCAGAGTCCGCTGCTGTGGTACTCGACGCTTGATGTTGTGCTGACCGGCACTGGCTGGAGCAAGAGCCAGGTCGACGAGGCATTGTACTTCAAGTTCGGCAACGACGGAGTGGCATGTTGGGTGCTCGTCTATGTCAACGGCCTTTTTGCCGTCAACATCAACCTTTTGATGCTGAAGGAGTTGCGCGAGCTGCTGGAGATTGCCTTTGATCTGTGCGAGATCAGCCCGGTCGAGAAGTGCCTGGGACAGGAGATCGTGCGCAATCGACATGCGCGGAAATTGTGGCTCCACCAGCATTCGAACGTCGACAACCTGCGCAGGCGCTTCATCAACGATGAGCAGACTGGTCCGGTTCCGTCGACGCCTACGCCGAGCAGTCGTTTGATGGCGAAGACTTTCAGTCGCGTGAGGAGGAGGAGTACCGATAGCAGGTCGGCTCGCTGCAATTCGCGGCCACGACAACTCGGCCCGATATCGCCTTCGCGTGCAGCAAACGGGTATCCGGCTTGACGGTGCTGAGCGACCAGCACTGGCATGAGGCCGTCCGCTGTTTCGCCTACCTGGCCGACACGCACGATGTCGGGGTTCGGCGTCGTACCCAAGTCCGTGTGTCTGGTCAGCTACGTGGACGCCGACGATGCTGGCGACAAAGAGAGACGCAGCATCACGAACTGCTATGTTTTCGTCTTCATCGGCGCAACTGTCTCCTGGATGAGCCAGCGTATCAAGTGCGTGACTCTGTCTTTGATGGAGTCGGAGTACATCGCTGCGACTGAAGCCGGCAAGGAGGCCCGTCGCCTTCGCTTTCTCCTCGCCGAGTTCCAGCTGCTTGACGCTGGGACGCCGACCATTCTGAATGCGGACAACCAGTCGCCCATCGCGGTCGCTGAGGGCTTGGGGCTGAAGGGAAACCTCAAGCACATAGAGAGACGCTACGTCTGGCTGTAGCAGATGGTGAAGCGCAAGAAGATTGCGCTGCAATGATCGAGCAACCGGCGGACTTTCTTACCAAAGGCACTGCAGTTTCCGACTTTCAATTGGTGCTCCGTCGCAGTCTGCCAGGTTGGCCTTGCCGAAGTCGGCGACGACGACGACGTGCAGAAGTAAGTGACATGTCCTTTAACATGGCTGGTGCGGCGATCGGCGTGCGAGGGTGTGCACGCCGGCGAGAGTGTGTCGAATCTTGAGCTTGGCAGAGAAGTGTCGACGAGAAATGCCCTGCCCTCGCTTGGGCGCAGGCAATTTCGCCGTTGACGAGAGGGACTCGACGACGTGGCCGTCGAGTGGACTTTCACGAGTCAACGGAGGAAATGGTCGAGCATGCACTGCTCGACAGGAGCCAGTCAACGTGGTCGGTTGCTGGTCGACGACAGCGGTCGTCGATGAACCCGGCGAAGGGCACTGGTCGATGAGTCCGTCGAGAAGCACTAGTCGATGAGCGCTATTGGACGAGCATCGCCTCGGCGAACGCTGTTCGACAGAGCAGCGTCGAATTGGTCGACTGAAGCTGCTCGATTACTCGGCCCAGCTAAATGGTGCACGGATTCACTCTAATATTGAAGGGTGCCTTCTGACGAAAATTAGCCCTGCTTCGTACGCAGCTTACGACGGTGGTGACAATACTCGTGCACAAGAAAGGAAATAAGTCAAAATTGGAGAACTACAGTCCAATTACTCTCTTGAGTGCAACCCATAAAATTGTGGCGAAGGTGCTGGCGAACAGAAACAAGAAGGTGCTGCCGAAGGTCATCTCTAACCACCAATACGGTTTTATACCTGGGAGGAAGCTGGCTGATGCCGTCAACGTGGTTGCAT